TGATGGTGTTAATACATTTTACAATATGTTTCAGCAATACATCACCAATACAGAAGGCAAAGCTCAGCTATATGCTGCCATGTTTGCTCTGCTGTGTCCTGTAGTTAGGGGCAGCCACTGCAAAGTTATTGATGAACATGATCTTTAGCTGTATCATGGCACCGGGTGGAGAGCAGGTTTGAAGAGGGTGAGACTGGAGGCAGGACAGCAGGGCAGGAGGTTTGTCCAGGTGAGAAAAGATGAAGGACTGACTTGCATCTGAGGAAGTCAAGACATCCTGAGGGGAGATAACGAGAGAGAACTGAGGACTGACTGGATGGGTAGAGGAGTAATGGAGTGGTCTGTGAGGACTGGTAGTTTTATAGCGTGGGTGACTGGGCAGGAGATAGGTCATTCACAGAGCTGGGGATACAGGAAGACATGCAGATTGGGCGGTGGGAAAAATACTGAGCTAATTCCTGGATGTTTTGAGTTTGGGGTGCTTGTGGGGTATTCAGTTAAAGAGGTCTCGGCGGCCGGGCGCGATGGCTCACGCCTATAATTCCAGCACTTTGGGAGGCCGGGGCAGGCAGATCACAAGGTCAGGTGTTCGAGACTAACCTGGCCAACATGGTGAAACTCCATCTCTACTAAAATACAAAAATTAGCCAGGCGTGGCAGCGGGCACCTGTAATCCCAGCTACTGGAGAGGGCAAGGCAGGAGAATGGCTTGAACCTGGGAGGTGGAGGTTGCAGTGAGCCAAGATCACGCCACTGCACTCCAGCCTGGGTGACAGAGTGAGACTCTGTCTCAAAAATAAATTAAAAAATAAATAAATAAATAAATAAATAAAAATAAAAGGTCTAGGCATGGAGCTTCAGGTGTCTGGAAAATTCTGTCCTGATAGTGTGAAATGGATCTACTTAATGAACTCCAAAAACAGAGCAGTGGATAGTTTTGATGCTATACCTGCAAATAACCAAAAACAGTGTTAGCTTCTAGAAAATGCACCCCCTTTAAGGCTCCTGAATGGGATTTTAGGTTATGTGAATGCTTAAAATAATAATAATAATAAGCAACAGCATCTAGCACTTTCAGGAAGTAACTGGGTAAAATTACAGCCTCTAGCTGATAGCTGTCTGCTGGTGGCATCTCCTCCCCACTCACACCATGGTATATTCTTCTAAATTAGTAGTTCTCAACCTTGGCTCTGCATTCAAAGCACCTGGAAAATTTCATGAGGATTAAGTGGAATGGTTTAAAAATAACTGTCAGATGGCAGATGTTTGCTATCGCTTTCTTCCTGCCTAAAAAGTGAGACTACACTCTTACCTCTCTCCCTCTCCTGAACCAAAAGGGATCCTCTCATTGAAAGAGTTTTGTACAATGCAAAACTTTATTCAAATATATGTGTCTCTAAAAGATAACTCTTAAGAAACATAGCCACAATACTATCACATCTCAATTATCCATAATTCCTGTATATAAAATATCCAATCAGTATTCTCATGTCCCTCACTAGTTGAATTTTTGTTTGTTCAAATTAGAATAAAGCCCAGTTGCTTCAATTGATATGTCTCCTCAATCTCTTTTAATGTATAGAGTCTACCACCGTGTTTCTTTTTCCCCTGTAATTCATTTATTAATGAAACCAGGTCATTTTTCTTGTAAACTTTCCTTCAGTCTAGGATTTACTGATTGCATCCTCATGTGTTTTAAAAACAAACTTTTACAAAAAGTTTTACATTTGCAGGCCAGGTGCAGTGGCTCACTCCTGTAATCCTAATATTTTAGGAAGCGCAGGTGGGAAGATAGCTTGAGGTCAGGAGTTGGAGACCAGCTTGGGCAATATACTAAGACTCATCTATATATTTTTAAAAGCTTTTTACATTTACAGGAAAATTGTGGAGACAGTACCTAGAGTTCCCATTACTCCAACTAATTTACTCTATAATTAACATCTTACATTATGGTACATTTCTTGCAATAATGAACCAATTTTGATACATTATCATTAGACAAAGTCTATACTTTATTCAGATTTCTCTAATCCATTTAGTCATGTCATGTGTCCTTAGGCTAGTCTTTACTGTGACAGTTTCTCAGACTTTCATTGTATTTCATGATTGCTATTGACTGAATATTTTTGTTCCCCCTAAATTCATATGTTAAAATCCTAACTCCCAATTTATTGGCATTTGGAAGTAAGGCCTTTGGGAGGTGATTAGGTCATGAAGGCAGGGGCCTCACGAATTAGATTAGTGACTTTCTAAAAGAGGTGTGTACATGTCTATAAATATTTCCCTATGTAAACATATGTAGCAATAAGTTAAACATGAGTTAACACTGATGTCTCCAACTGAAATCCACTATTACATGGATCATTCTAGTCTCTTCCTGATATTTTAAAAAGGGGCATCTTTATATTTCTAATAATCGGTATTTAGGTTGAGATTCAACTTCAATTTTGTGAAAGAAAAATTAATAGGAGGTGATGTATTCTTCCATCATGAAGTGCACAGTAACTGGTTGCCTTTTCATGATGTTAGCAACCATTGATGATCATTCCCTAGGGTCCATTAATTCTTTAAAGTTAAAAAAAAAATGTAAAATTGTTATTGGCTCCTTCTTCTTTGATTAGCTAGAATACTTAAAACAAAAATTTCCTCTCATCAACTATTTAGTAGCACTAAGGAAGCGCCCATATAAAAAAGGCAGGATGGGCTGGGCACTGTGGCTCACGCCTGTAATCCCAGCACTCTGGGAGGCCAATGTGGACAGATCACATGAGATCAGGAGTTCAAAACCAGCCCGGCCACCATGGTGAAACCCTGTCTCTACTAAAAATACAAAAATTAGCTGGGCGTGGTGGTGGGCACCTGTAAGCCCAGCTACTCAGGGAGGCTGAGGCATAAGAATCGCTTGGCCCTGGGAGGCAGAGGTTGCAGTCAGCCAAGATTGCGCCACTGCACTCTCTAGCCTGAGTGACAGAGCAAGACTCCATCTCAAATAAATAAATAAATAAAATAAAAAAGCATGATAAATGCTTAATTCTTTTCCTCATTATTTTAAAAATGAATTGGTTCCTTAGCATCCTCCTAGACTGACCACAGAGCTATTTTTGGTTCCATGTACCATTATGAACTTGAAGCAGATTTTTAGGTACATGGCTCAGCCCTCTACCTCCAGCCTTGAGTCCTGGGCATTCTACCTCAGGATAGTGAAATGGGGGATGGTTGGTGGGGGTGGGGATGTGGGGCAGAGGCAGAGAGGGATTTGAAAGAGATGGCAAGGTTGGGGGCTCTTAAGGGCTTCCATATTCCTTCATCCAGAAAAAGCTCTGGTCTCCAAAGCATTAATTCCTGAATAGCTGTTGCCTTGGTTTTTATAGATTTCGTGTTGCCTGATTTGAGTCCATCTTTAAACGTCTCTTCAAGCAACCAGGAAAGAAAGAACAGCCTGAAGATCTGGAAAGGGCATGTTTAACCCTAAATCCTTAAAAGTAGCTAATCTAGGAGACAAGGTCACCTTTGAAATGCTGGGGAAAGGGGTAGATCACCTCTTCTCCACCTTAGCTATTAGTTACCTGAAACACCTTTGAAAAGCCAAATATGTCCCTGCATTGCCTCCACAGATTCTGATTCAGTTGGTCTAGTTAGAACCCTGAAATTGGCAGTTGTTATCAGCTTTTAGAGCAAAGTGAGTGTAACATGAAGCCAGGCCATTTCCAAGTCCCCAGAATGATAGCAGGCCATCATGGATTGTATCACACCTACAGCTTTATCACCTTGATCTGGCCGTCTGATGTTAGTAGTTGGCATGTCCACCCTGTAACTCAGAAGACTAAGCTAGGAAAATGATGCCCAACAGTTTTCATCCTTGATGAGTGTGGCTCATTTCCAACCCCTGGGTCTTTAACATAACACACAGCACTGTGCCCCAACCCTCGACTCCAAGAATGGCTACATTTACTTTCTGCCTGGCACTGTTGTAAGTGCTTTACATATCTCAACATCCCTAATAGGTTGGTATCATCTCCACTTAACAGATGAGCTATTGCGATCTGAGGGAGTTAAGTGACTTGTTAAGGTCATAAACCCGTTTCTGGGTGGGTCCGGACTCTTTCCCACCACCTGCTGTCACTTACAGGCTGTGACTTTATGCCCAGCCCCCCTCAAGGAGCTGCCTCCTGCTTTCTATTGCATAATCAATATCAACACCTGGTGTAGGGGTGCTCTGCAGGGTGGGGAAGGCCTGGCCTGGGGTGAGGGATCCTGCATCTCAGCATCAGGCCCTGAGTAGGCCTCTGCCCTAGTGGTAGGGTAACCCACCCTCCTTCACAGCTCAGAGGTCTCAGGGTGTGTGAGGGAAAGACTAGAAAGCCTAGGAGGCTTCTACCTCTCACCCCTCCTCACTCCCAGTCCTGGGCCACAGGATTTCACTCACGGCTCCTTCCACCCCCACACTTCCCCTGAAAATCTCACTGCCCTGTGACTTCTCCATGTGCCACTTCCTGTGCGTCAGACCCCCACGATCAGCTGCCCACTGCCTATGGCCACCCCAATTCCTGACTAGAACTACACTTACCACTGCTCACCCTTCTCCTACTCTCCCCTTCTCAGAAAATGACACCACATCCGGAAACTCTGAACCACCACTAGCCCAGCGCTCCCTCTTCCCCATTCACTCAGTCACCAAGTCCCCTCAGTTTCACCACTCAAGATAGTTGTTAGACCATGGCGCCTCTCCATCCCCATTTCCCTAGGATGGGCCTTGGTGTCTGAGGCCAACCCTACCTCATTTCCTCCTAACGCCCACCCAGGCCTTGTGCTTTGTGTACCACCACACCCAGCCAAATGTACTTATTGCTTCTTTGGCTCCCAGCACTCAACTGAGCGCCCCAGTTCTTCCTCACCTGCTGGGACACTCCAGAAGACTCCAGATGGTGAGGTAGGCGTTTATGTACCAGCCTTGCTCCAGGTTCAGGGCGCTGCCATACCTTCAGCGCCCCCCCGCCGCAAGCCCAACCCAGAGGCTGTTTATGGTTTCCCTAAGGTTCCTGGGTCCTGGACATCAGTCCGGTCTGCAAGCCCCGCCCTGATTGGCTGCCTCCCGCACCGGTCGCGGCGCCCGGACCTGAGGTGCCTCGGTTCCTCCCCTTATCCCTGAAGGGATGGGGCCTTGCGACACCGCCCACTCTCGGATGGATCCGAGGTGAGACCCGCCCTTGTGCCCTCGTGCCCTCGTGGGCCTTCGGGACAGCGGAGGAGCAGTGTCGGGCCATGGCCAGGGCCGGCAGGCTGGAGCTGGCCGAGGCTCTGGCGCTGGGGCCAGGCTGGAGGCCTGCCTGCTATGCGCTCCTGCACGCGCCTGACCCTGGGATTCTCTTTGGCCGCCTCCCCCTGCGCTACGCCATACTGGTGAGGAGGGGGTGCGCCCGGCCTCTCTCCACTATGGCCCTGCCCCTCCCTGTGGCGCTACTCTTGGGTGTCCCTGCCAATCCCAGCTTCCTCTTCTCGCAGATGCAGATGCGCTTCGATGGGCGCCTGGGCTTCCCTGGCGGATTCGTGGGCTCGCAGGACGGCAGCCTGGAGGACGTGCTGAACCGTGGTCTGCTGGAACAGCTGGGCGAGGCGGCGGCCGCCTTCCGTGTGGAGCGCCCTGACTGCCGCAGCTCCCACGCTGGATCAGGGCCACGCGTTGTGGCCCACTTCTGTGCCAAGTCTCTGACGCTCGAGCAGCTGTCGGCTGTGGAGTCCAGCGCAACAGGCGCCAAGGACCACGGGCTGGAGGTGGGACCAGTCTGGGACCCTGCTCCGTATCCTATTCCTTTCCCTTCCCTTCCTTCCTTTGCCTCAGAAACTCTTTTTGGATTGAGGTCCCCGTCTGTCAGAACTTGCCCTCTTCCCCATTTTCTTGGTGGAGTTGAGATCTTGGTCTTCTCTTATTGAATGGTACTGCCAACCTAGGTTCCCGGGAAGATTTCCACCCACCTCGCCCTTTACTGGGCTCTGGAGAGATTTTTCTAGAATACACTTATCCACATCTCTCAGCTGCTCTCTGTTGATAATGTGTAAATGGCCAGGCATCTACCCTAGTCCCTTATTGTTGGGCTTCTGTTTTTCTTAGGAAGAAGATATGGCCCTAATACTTAAGGCGGGAGACAGATTGTATACGGAGGTGGTTCTCAAATTTTGTCAAGTATCAGAATCATCTGTGAGGCTTATAAAAACAAAATGACTAGATTCTACTCCCAGAATGCTGGTAGTGGGTGAGAAAGCACCAGCTTCCACCACTCCCAAGTCCGGGGGGCAGGGGTTCAGAAATCTGAGAATTTGTTTTTTTCAAAAGTTCCCAAGTGATACTAATAACGCTGGTCTAGGTTTCCCATTTTGAGAACCATTGTTGCCGGGTTAAGCATGAATTTTGGCGTTAGGAGCCAATAGAGTTTTGGGGGACAGATGTCATAAGGATTAACATCGATGGAGCTGGATAGCATGTCTTGGGTCATTTGCAGAGCGTTCGGTCCACTGGGCCTCCTTTAAATAGGAGCCTTGGACTTGTTTCTGCTGGAGTATTAAGGGTTGAGGCATCTGCTCTAGAAAGATCTGCTAAAGAGAGGATGGAGGTAGTGACATGAGCTACCTGGAGTCCCAGTGTCTCCTGTCTCCTTACTTTTACAGGTGCTGGGCCTGGTGCGAGTGTCCCTGTATACCCTGCGTGATGGTGTGGGAGGCCTGCCCATCTTTCTAGAGAATTGCTTTATTGGTGCTGCCCGGGAGCGGTTACTGGATACCCTCCATGACTTGGGAGTGGTGGAAGCTGGTGCTTTCTCAGGCCTTCAGATCCCAGTTCGTCTGAGGCATCCCTCTGTGGACTCAGGGAACCTGAGATGAGGACTTTGGTACAAGGAAGGGAATGTTTTCTCTTCTGGACCTAAAGATGGTACCAAATTAAAAGAAGACATGTATATCATATGTTTTGAGCAGAGGACCCTCCAATTCATGGGATCAGGGACAAAAATCCACAGCTCATCCCAGGGGCCCTGGCAGGTTCTCAGAGCCTACCTCTTCCTTGTGCATTTGCATACAGCCTGGTAACCCCCAGACATGCATATGTACAATGTGACCACACACAGCCTGACATCTTTCACCTGTGAGGTTCAAATTAAGCAGGAATTGGCATTTTTTACCATAGCCTGCCTCTTGCTTTGCAGAGAGCTTCTACAGCAAGGGTGAGTCCTTCCCACAGTCCTCCATGGCTGCTCTTTAGGGTCTAGCCCAGCCCATGTTTTTTGGGAAGGATAGAGAAGCAGAGGACCCTCTTTGCTTTCCTGAAAGTAGCCATGCCCTTGGTGGAGGGTTCACCAAAGCAATTGGTGGGAGAGGGTCTTCACCAACCTCCAACACTTTGCTTCTCCTGAAACTGAGAAGGGGTAAGGAAGTAGCTAGGTCCCCTTGGATGGAGCATGGACGTGAGACCTGTGAGTACTGGTGTCTCCTTCAGAGCTTTCATCTTTGGTTCGCTGTAGACTCTGGGACTATCAGAAGAGAACTGACTCATACCTGTCTAGCCCTGCCCTGCCAAAAAAAGAGCCTCCCGTTAAAGAGGGGATAGAGCTGGGCCTTGAGGCCCTTCACTTCTTTCAACAGCTATTTAATATGTACCTACTAAATGCCAGGTACTATAAAAGGTATAGAAAGCCATCCTTGCTCTCCAAGACTCCAGGGCAGGGATGGGCAAACATTTTCTCAAAAGCCAGATAGCAAATATTTTAAGCTTTGTAAACTACATAGTTTTTTAAAAAATATTTTCTAACATTGACTAATAAAAATTGCCTATATTTATTGTGTACAAAATGATGCTTTGAAATGTGTATACATTGTGGGGTGGCTAAATTGAGCTAATTAACATATACATTACCTCACATATTTATCATTTTTCATGGTAAGAACATAAAATTTACTCTTAGCAATTTCCACAAATATAATGCAGCTATTAACTATAGTCACCATTCATGCAACAGATCTTTTGAACTTATTTCTCCTAACTGAAATTTTGTATTCTTTGATCAATATCTTCTCAATTACTGTTCCCTACCCCCAGTGCCTGGGAACCATTATTTTACTCTCTGTTTCTATGTGTTTAACTTTTTTAGATGCCATATATAAGTGAGATCATATGGTATTTGCACCTGGCTTATTTTATTTAACATGTCATCTAGGTTAATCCATATTGTCACAAATGACAGGATTTCCTTCTATTTTAAGGCCAAATAGTATTCCATTATGTATATATACCACATTTTCTTTATTCATTTCTCTGTTGATGGACACTTACATTGATTCCACATCTTGGCTATTGTGAATAATGTTGCAGTGAACATGGGAGTGCAGATATCTCTCCAGATCCTAATTTCAATTCCTTTGGATAAATACCCTGTAATGGGATTGCTGGACCATATAGTAGTTCTTTATTTTTAAATACCTCCATGCTGTTTTCCATGATGATCATACTAATGTACATTTCCACCAATATTGTGTAAGTGTTCCCTTTTCTTCATATTTTCTCTAATGCTTATCTTTCATCTTTTTAAATCATAGCCATTCTAACAGGTATGGGGTGATATCCTATAGTGGTTTTGATTTTCATTTTCCTAATAATTAGTGATGTCGAGCATTTTTTATATACCTATTGGTCTTTCTTTGAGAAATGTCTATTCAGGTCATCTGCCTCATTTTTAATTGGGTTATTTGTTTTCTTGCTATTGAGTTGTTCATGTTCCTTATATATTTTGGCTATTAACCTCTCATCAGTTGTGCGATTTGAAATTATTTTCTCCCATTCTATAGATTGTCCCTTAACTGTGTTAACTGTTTCCTGTGCTATGCAGAAGGTTTTAGTTTGATGTAATCCCATTTGTCTATTCTTCTTGTTGTTGCCTGTGCTTTTGAAGTCTTATCCAAAAAAATCATTGTCCAGACCAATGTCATGGAGCTGTTACCCTGTTTTCTGTAGTTTTATAGTTTCAGGTCTTGCATTTAAGTCTTTAATCTATTTTGAGTTTATTTTTTATATGGTATGAGATAAAGTTCTAATTTTATTCTTCTGCACAGAAATATGCAGTTGTCCCAACACCATTTATTGAAGAGATTATCTTTTCCCCATTGTGTATTCTTACCCTCTGTGGAAAATCAATTGACCATAAATGTGTGGATTTATTTCCAGGATCTCTATTCTGTTCCACTGGTCTATGTGTCTGTTTTTAATGACAGTACCATGCTGTTTTGGTTACTAGAGCTTTGTGGCACATTGTGAAGTCAAGCAATATGATACTTCTAGCTTTGTTGTTTTGGTTAAGATTTTTTGGCTATTCAAAATTTTTTGTAGTTTCATATGAATCTTTGAATTTTCTATTTCTTTGAAAAAAGTCATTGGAATTTTGATAGGGATTGCATTGAATCTGCAGATTGCTTTGAATAATATGGACATTTTAACAACATAAATTCTTCCAGTTCATTAACAAGGGATGTGTTTTCATTTATTTGTTGGGCCATTTATTTGTGTCTTCTTCAATTCCTTTTTTTTTTTTTTTTTTTTTTTTTTTTTTTGAGACAGAGTCTCACTCTGTCACCCAGGCGGGAGTGCAGTGGCACCATCGCAGATTACTGCAACCTCCTCCTCCCAGGTTCCCTCCTGCCTCAGCTTCCTGAGTAGCTGGAACTACAGGCATGCACGATCACACCCAACTAATTTCTGTATTTTTACTAGAGATGGGGTTTCGCCATGTTAGCCAGGCTGGTCTCCAACTTCTGACCTCAGGTGATCCACCCACCTTGGCCTCCCGGAGTGCTGGGATTATAAGCATGAGCCACCCCACCTGACTTTCAATTACTTTCATCAATGTCTTATAGTTTTCAGTGTAGAGGTCTTTCATCTGTCTGACTAAATTTATTCCTAAGTATTTTAATCTTTTGGTAGCTATTGTAAATGGGATTGTTTTCTCAATTTCTCTTTTAGATAGTTTGTTTTTTATTGTACAGAAATGCTACTGATTTTTGTATGTTGACTTTGTTTCCTGCAACTTTACTGAATTTGTTTTTTAGTTCTAACTTTTTTTTGCTACAGTCTTTAGGGTTTTCTATATATAAGATCATGTCTGCAAACAGGGAAAATGTAACTTCTTATCCAATTCGAATGCTTTTTCTTTCTTTTGAGTAATTGCTCTGGGTAGGACTTCCAGTACTGTGTTGCATCCTTCTCTTATTTGTGACAGACAGAGCCTTGCTCTGTCACCCAAGCTGGAGTGCAGTGGCGCTATCTCAGCTCAAAGTAATTATTGATAGGTAAGAACTTACAGCCATGTTGTTAATCATTTTCTCATTCTCTATAGGTCTTTTGTTCCTTTCTTTCTGTCTTGCTGTCTTTTGTGATTAGGTGATTTTAAAATTTGTATTCTCTGATTTTTTGCTTTTTATCTTTTATGTATCTACTGTATGTTTTTGCTTTGTGGTTACCATAAGGCATATATAAAATATAATTGTAATAGGCTATTTTAGGCTGACTACAACTAAATATTAATTGTATACAGAAACTCTACACTTTTACTCCATCCTTAATGTTATAATTTACATCTTTTTATATTGTGTATCCCTTAACAAATTTTTGTCACTATTATCTTAATAGATTTGTCTTTTAACCATTATATTAAAGATATAAGTGATTTATACAGCACCTGAATTTGACTGTGCACTTACTTTTTCCAGTGAGTTTAAGGCTTTCATATGCTTAGTGTTACTAATTAGCATACTTTTCTTTCAACTTAAAGAACTCCCTTTAGCATGTCTTGTAAGACATGTCTGATAATAATGAAGTCCCTCAGCTTTTCTTTGGGAAAGTTTCTATCTCTCTTTCATTCTTGAAGGCAGTTTTTCCAGGTACAGCATTATTGTTCCAGCATTTATTTCCTTCAACACTGAATATATCATCCCACTCTCTCACGGCCTGTAAGGTTTATGCTAAGAAATCTGCTGATAACCTTATTGGAGCTCCCTTATATGTTATTTCTTTTCTTTTCTCTTGCTGCTTTTGGGATCCTCTCCTTGCTTTGATTTTTGATAGCTGCATTATAACGTATCTTGGTATGGTTTTGTTTAGATTGAATCTTGTTGGAGATCTTTCACCTTCCTGACCCCAGATTTGGAAAATTTTATGCTATTATTTCTTTAAATGTACTTTCGAGCCCGTTTTCTTCCTTTTCTTCTTCTTGGGCTCTTATAACTCAGTATTTCCTCTTTTGATGCTGCTCCATAAATCCCACGGGGCTTCTTCATTCCTTTTCATTCCTTTTTATTTTTCTTTTCTTACTATATATTTTCAAATAAACTCTTTGAGTTTATAGATTATTTTTTCTGCTTGATCAGTTCTGCTGTTGATATTCTATTACATTTTTTGTTTCATTCCTGGTATTTTCCAGCTCCAGAATTTCTGAATTTTTAAAAATATAATTCTAATCTCTTGGTTATTATTTTCCTCATTTATTGAATTATCTATCTGTAGTGTTTTGATGTTTGCTGAGCTTCCTTAAAATAATTATTTTGATTTGTCAAGAAGATGATGAGTCTCCTTTTCTTTTAGTTTGGATACTGGTTCTTTATTTAGTTCTTTGCAGGGAGGGAGTTGGGGGTGGATCATGTTTCCCTGATTGCTCTGAATCCTTGTGGCTGAGTGTTGATATCCACACATTTGAAAAAACAGGGACTTATTCCAGTCTTTTCAAGCTTGTGTCATCTGGGGCAGCCTTTTACCAACTAGCCTGTCCAGAAATTCTGGGCAGGCAATCTGGCATGGTCTGTAGGGAGGTTTGCTGCTGGACTCCTCAGATAGGCTTATCTGGTGTCTGGGTCAGAAAGTGGGGTCCTGGAGGCTAGGTCCATGAAGGCAGGCCTGGAGCCTACTTCTGCAATGACTAGCCTGAAGCTTGGGTCCACAGGGGCTGACTTGGAACTAATATAGACCTTGACCCTGAGTCTGCACAGGCCAGCCAGGCACTGGCAGGGAATGGGTGCCTGGATCCACTGGGATGGGCCTGTACTCTGAGTATACAGGGACTGGCCTGACACTGGGGTGGGCCTGGAACCTGAGTCCTTGGTGGGGCTATCTAGGGTCTTGTGTCCACAAGGCCTGGTCTGGAGTCTAGGCCTATAGATGTGGTCCTGGAACCTTGGCCCACAGGGCCCAGCCTGGCACCAGGGTCTGCTGGGCTGGGGTCTAGACTCTGGGTTTGCTGGAGCAGGCCTGAACTGTGGGTCAAAACTGGAGCCATGAGCACTGACCTGGAGCCTGGGCCCAGTCTGATGCTGGGTCAGGCATGGAGCTTGAAACTGCAAGGGCTGGTCTAAAGCTTGGGATCCTGGGTGCTAATGTGGAGCCTGGAGCCATGGGGGCTGGCCTGGAGCCTGTAGCTGTGGGGGCTGGTCTGAAAGCTGCGTATGCAGTTACTGACATGAAAACTGGGTCCACAAGGGCTGGCCTGTGTCCTAGGTCTGCTGGAGTGTGGGGACACGTGGTCTATCCTAGAAAGTGAGCATACAGAAAATGGCCTGGCACTGGGCAGGCCTGGAGCCTGAGTCCACAAGGGAAACCCTAAAGCCTGAAGCTATGGGGACTAGCTCCCCAGTGCTTAGAGTGGTCTGGAGCCTGGAGCAGACAGGACCAACATGGCCCTGCGATGGGCCTGGAACCTTTGTCTATGGGGGCTGCCCTGGCACTGGGGTTAGTCTGGGGCTTGGGGCCATGAGATCTGGTTTAGTACTGGAGCAGACCTGGAGGCTTAATCTGCAGGTACCAGCCTAAAGTGTGAGGCTGTGGGGCCTGGGCAGTGTTGGGTTTTACTTGGATGGGTCAGGTATTTGTCCAAGGCAAAGTCCACTCCTCACTTCCTGCACATTTCCCCAAGTGGGAGGTATCTCTCAATATACTGTGTGCTTGAAGCTGGGGAAGAGGTGATGTGAGTAATGTAAAACTGTCCTTCCTACTGTCTTCACTATATCTTTTATTATTTCTATGTTACACACAGGTACTATAATCTATTACCTGCTTTCCTTAGTTCATGTAGTTATTTTTCTGAATGAATGGATACTTGTTCAAATTGATGGATCTCCAGGGAGACAAGTCTGGAAAGTACTATTCCATCATTTTGCTCAGGGATCACCACCACATGCTGTTTCTGACAGCTCTACAACTCTATGATGTCAAAAGCACATGAACAATAGATAAACAAGTGGTGTGGCTGTATTCCAATAAAACTTTAAAAGTAGTTGGCCAGCCTCTGGGCCATAGTTTGCCAACCCTTGGTCTATAGGGAAGGGTAAAATTAATCATTTTAATTGTGATGGCTACTTATTTGTTATTTAAGTGTTAAAGAAGGAAATAAACAAGGACCTCATAC